GGGGGGGGGACTTTTTGGATGTTACTGATTAACAGGTCTGTTTGTGATGGTGGTTTTTCTAATGCACGCTTTGCATACAAGTTTGGCTTTCAGGTGTGTGTGTGTGTGTGTGTGCTTAGGCGTGCACATTTGTGTTTATATGTGTAATATGCAGTACATAATGCATCTTTGTTTATGTAAACAGACAAAACACACTGCATGTTTTTTTCAATGTTTATTTTATCTTTAACAAAAGATATATTGAAACAAACAGATCATGTTTGTGCAGACTAAATTAGTTTGAAACTTATTAAACTATAATAATTTTCACCTGCTGATCATCTGCTACACAGAATCACACACACACACACACACACAAAAACATTAACTTTGAGAAGGATTCAAGTTCTACTTATAAAGTAGATATTTTTATAATCTTTTAGATTTACGAGGTGAATGCCAGCTGATCTGACACGCAGATTGTTACAGAAATTTACATTTAGAAATTTCACAATTTCTTCTTGTTGTCCTGTGTCCCCTAACGTTCTACAGACAGCGCCAGCTTTTCAAATACTTAGTATTTATTTCACAGTGAAGGTGCCTTAGAGTTCGAATCGACAGAAAAGGCACCGAGCGATCGCTTTAATGCTGTCGGTGTTCATTCTGTTCTTTGCCGATGTCCTTCTTCACTCTACACAGAGTTGGGCTCTCCTTGTAGACCTCTCAGCGTCTTCTCGTCAAAGCGATAGGTGAGCTTCCTTTTCACTTTGTGGATCTCACCGGTGCGGGAGTAGTTCCTCAGTGCCCGGGCCATCTTCTGATAGGTCATGGTTTTGCGATTCCCCTTTCTTTGGCCCCACAACTGGGCCAGGCTCTCCTTGTTTTGAGAGGAGAACTGAAAAGTTCCAGAAGAGGACTGGACCCACCAGATGCAGCTCCGCATCGATGGCGTTTGAAGCATCTCAAACAGGAACTGGAACAGGCGCTCTTTCCTCTTTCCTGTTAAAGAGGAAGGGGATAAGATTAAAATAAATAAAATAATAAAACGGCTTGAGGTTGCAATGTCTTCTTTTTGCACAGGAACTAAAGAAAAGCTGGTTTTTTTTTTTGTTCGAGAGTTGTTTCCTGTGACGCGTGTTATCTGGTGATACCTGACAGTGGGGTGAGAGGCAAGTTTCTGTCCTTCCTGTCCTCTCTGTCAGAAGACGGTGAGGGTGAGTCTTGGTAATCCTGATACTGGGAGCTGCTAGACTGTGAATCTGAGTCAATATATAACGGAGCTTCACAGGAGTATAGAATGGGCTCCTGAAGGGAAAACATCCACATGACTCATTCGAAAGAACACAAGCAGTCATACGTAGATTTGTCTATGACAAAAATACATGAGCTTGAATTTGAAGCCTTATACTCACCCACTGGCTGTCATGAGGACTCTGCCAGGCCAGATGTGGCACCAGCTCTTTATATTCCTTGTTTGGAGTGTGAGAACCGTAGTTCCACTTATATGCATGCTGACCTGACCAGTTATTCTCTGTGGGAAAGCAGACACGTGATCCAGTCAGACTGAAGATATAAAAACTGATACTCCACATGTAGACCTCTTCCATCATCATCAGGCTAACCTATGATCCTGGTATCTCGGTGGGAGTGTGTGTGTGTTTGCTGGCCCATCGTGGTCATAGGTGAGTGAGCATGCTGGACCTCCAGCGAGTGCTCCTGCAGGTATTCCTCAATGACCTCCAGGTCCACCTCGGGGCAGGAGGAGGGAGCAGCTTCACTCCAGACTCCCCGACCTCCATTCAGCTTGATCTCAGCCACATAGGGCGTCTGATGGAGACAGAACAGCTTTCAGACATCATACACACTTTTCTAATCTTATTTTTCTTTTTTATGCACAAAGAGATGAACATTCTGCACGACATCAGTCATTTCAGGTTTAGCATCAGTTTATTATTTGTATAAAATCTATTGTCAGGGATTCATTAATTTTAAATGAGCCTAGAAATTAATGAAAAAATGATTCAAATGAAGTGCATCATAGAAGTAAATTCCTTTGTAATTAATTTAGACAGGACACAAATAAACAATAAAAAAAATAGAAGATCTGTGTGCAGCACAGTGCTGATTTTTTGAATATGCATGAAGCAAATTGAAATTAAATGCTCCAAACTGTAAGAACTCTGACCTGACGTATACTGTGTCCTGTAGGGTTTGTAGCTTGGAAAAGAGCCAGTTCACAACACTGAGATCATGTGTGTTTTAGTTTTGACTGGCAAATGTATGCAAGTATTTGTGTTTTTATTAGCATAGATAACATTCAGATATCACTGATGAGTGCCTCTGCTCCCACCATCAGCCTGTATACACTTCTATAGATAACTAGATGATGTTTTAGAGTTGAATCTGGCAAGCAATAAAACATTATTTAAAAAAAAAAAAAATGCTTCAAACTCACCGTCTCCATTTCTGTCAACATAACCCAGTCTAGAAAGAGAAAAGATTCTCATCACACACCACAAATAAAACTCGAACGGAGAAGTGAAAGACGCTGTCGCACAGCTTCTCAGAAATGATCACATTCGAGTAAAAAACAAGCAAAAACCTTTAGATGTCTGTACCTTTAGGTTAGTGGTATCCTCAGGCAGTAAAAGGGGATGACATGAGAATCTGGATGCTCACCTGTGTGATGCTTCATCCACCTGCACCTCACCGCTCTTATAGTATTCACACCCACCCGCCTTCCTCCTCTCATTGGCCAGAATGTGTTAAAGTGGGAGCGGTTTGCAAAATTCGAGGTAACTGGATATGTGCTGACCTAATGTAATCCGTGCTTGTTCTCATTAATTAAAAACGCTCTACTGTAAGTTTATTTTCTTACACAACCACACAGACTGTTCAGCTGCAGATTTTAGGCCAACTGGATCACATTTGTATTCTTTTATATAAAACAAGAACATTTGACTATTTGATATCAAAGCCTCAGTCAGAGGATTTCACTTGTGATGTTTTGTTTTCAGGAAATCAAAGTGTGCGGTGTATTTGTGGTTTGTTACCACAGAGGAGGCCCCACCGAGGCTAATGATGTGGCTTTGGAGTTCTTCTGGGATTTAAATTGTGACGGAATCAAACAGGACTCCCTCGTACAGCTAGATTTAAAAGAGCTGCAAGGGACTAAAGAAGTATCGGTAGCACTTTACAATAATCCAACAATTTTCAGTCAGGTCATCTGGACAGTTTCTTTTTTTTTTTTTTTGTGCTGAAACGTTTCACCTTCCATCCAGGAGGCTTCATCAGTCAAGGAAACACACAACACAAAACTGATTCTTCCCCCAACAGCTTACTCCAAAGTGGAAAAAAACAGTTATGTTGGTGCTAAGATGGTCTCTTTGGCAAGCTCACTCCTCTGGTGCTGGCCTTCTCCCTCATCGACAGTCATGTCAGACTGGTTCAAAACCAACAAAGTCCATGCTCAATAATCCAGGTATACAATCCAACTGATGAAGCCTTCTAGATGGAAGGTGAAACGTTTCAGCACAAGATTAACTACTAGGGAAGGCCTCAGGAACGAATCAGGAACAAATCAGGAGCTAATGAGTAGTTAACCAGTACTTACTGGGGAACACACAGCCAAGCCTTATTAGGGGACTACCGGTTAGTTACCTTGTAAAGAAAGAGGAACTAATCAAGAACTAATGGGTAGTTCTCAAACCCAGCCGGTCGATGGCCGCTTGTCCTGAGCCTGGTTCTGCTAAAGGTTTCTTCCTCATGAGGGAGTTTTTTCTTTTCCACTGTCGCCTTCATGCTCAAGATGAGAGTTCTGTGATGGAGTTAAACTCAAAGCAGTCTGAGCCTCAGATAATGTTAAGTTATTATTTTTAAATATGAAAATTTCTGTTAACTTATTTTATATATGAATGTTTCTGTTCAATGCCCTGAGATGACTTCTGCTATGACTTGGTGCTATATAAATAAATTCAAAAAGCGTTCAATACAAAAACAACTGGACTTTATTTGTAACAGAAGACGTTTCGCTCCTCATCCGAGGAGCTTTCTCAATTCAAAGAGCAGTGAGTGAGGGGTTCAGGTTATAAGGCTGAGTGAGATAAGTTACACACACACATGTAGATTGGCAGTTCACACCTAAACACCTTAACAGTAGGTGTTTGTTCATCTAATTCACAGACGAGGCCCCTCTGTTCCCATCAAGTGTGAAAACCGAATGGGAATCTGTTTTAAAGTTGCATTATATGTTTTTGAAAGTGGAAATCTGAGGGAACAACGCCAAGCCATTGGTTCCAATATGTGGATGACACCTGGGTCAAAATCCAAGCTAAGGAAATAGAAGCGTTCACCAGACACACTAACTCGGTCGATAACAACATCAAGTTCACCAGAGAGGATGCAAACGACAACAAGCTGCCTTTTTTGGACTGTTTGGTTCAGATGGAGAGAGAGGACAGCCTCAACATTGAAGTTTACAGAAAACCAACCCACACAGACCAGTATCTTCTGTTTGACTCCCACCATCCACTGGAACACAAACTCTCTGTCATCAGAACTTTACAACATCGGGCCGAATGCGTCCCCACGAAGACAGAAGGGAAGGAAAAGGAACAGAAACACATTCAAGAAGCTCTTCAAACATGTGGATATTCTAACTGGGCTTTTGTCAAGTCAGTGAGGAAATCTACAAAACACACCAATAAAATGAAAAAAGGGGAACAACAGACGTAAAAACATTGTCATCCCTTATGTTGCTGGAGTATCAGAGAAATTCAGAAGGATCTTCAACAAACACATCCCAGTACATTTCAAACCCAGCAGGACTCTCAGACAGAGGCTGGTCCACCCTAAGGACAAAACACCCATACACAAACAGAGTGGTGTAGTGTATGCGGTCCAGTGCAGCGAGGACTGTCCAGACCTCTACATTGGAGAAACTAAACAGCCTCTTCACAGACGCATGACTCAACACAGGAGAGCCAGCTCCACAGGACAAGACTCAGCTGTTCACCTCCACCTCACAGAGAAGGGACACTCTTTTGAGGACCAAAATGTGCACATTTTGGACCGAGAACACAGATGGTTTGAGAGGGGGGTGAAGGAAGCAATTTATGTAAAAAGAGAAAAACTGTCTCTTAACAGAGGAGGAGGCCTCAGATTTCCACTTTCAAAAACATATAATGCAACTTTAAGACTGATTCCCAGCCGGTTTTCACACCTGATGGGAACAGAGGGGCCTCGTCTGTGAATTAGAGGAACAAAGGCCGACTGTTAAGGTGTTTAGGTGTGAACTGCCAATCTATGTGTGTGTGTCTTATGTGTGTGTGTCTTATCTCACTCAGCCTTATAACCTGAATCCGTCACTCACTGCTCTTTGAATTGAGAAAGCTCCTCGGATGAGGAGCGAAATGTCTTCTGTTACAAATAAAGTCCAGTTGTTTTTGTATTGAACGCTTTTTGAATTCATCATGTCCTGGATGACTGAGAATCTTCACCAGCATATATAAATAAACTGAATTGAATTGAATAGTTACTAATGAAACCAAAGCGGCACGAATCAAGAGCTAATGGGTAGTTAACCAGTACTTACTGGGGAACACACAGCCAAGCATTATTAAGGGACTACTGGTTTGTTACCACAGAAACAGAGGAGAAATTCTCCATTTGGGTTCTGAATAAATTCTGCACCAGTGAGGTCACAGCTTGTAATTGTCAAAAACCTGTTTCCTAGTGATTACTGATTTTATTGGATTCTTACCACTGATTAGCAATTTCATAATCTTGTACTGCTGTCATCTTGTCTGACTATCACTTACTGAGCACCAAATCATTGCCTGGCTGTTATTTTGTTGGTAACACTTTACAATGAGGTGAACAAAATTTCCCATTAAATACTGGTTAAGTACCCATTAGCTCCTGATTCGTTTTTTTTTTTTGTTTGTTTCCATGGTAACTACTAGGCCAGTCATGATAAACAATAAATCAATCGCATGATAAATGAAAATTATCGACCTAATTTTCATTTATCGACTTTGTCGTTTCTTCATGTTTCTCTCTTTCTACTGAAGACACAGGATGACAAAAGGCTCAACTCAGGTGCTCTTCACTGACCCCTCCCTTTCTCTTTAAAATCAGTTTTAACTGTCCAAAATTGCATTTTTGGATCATTAAAAGCAGCTAAGCTGAGAAACTAAGCTACGAGCTAAGCTAACAGGCCAACCATGGGGAAAAAAAACCCTCTGTCTAGTCGAAGTGCCAAAATTCACGGTTGAAACCCGTACCTTAGTGTAAAAAGTTGTTTTTCCTCTGCAAAAAGAAGTTGATAACTTGTTTACTGATTTTTTAAATTTTTTTATTAAAAGCTTTGTGTGAAGAATACTATGCTAAAGAGCTCAAACCACACTGAGCATCCGTCATTTTGAGAACAAAAAAAAGGAATGAGAGACAACCCATGTCACGACAAACTGCCATCTGGTGTTCAAAAAAAGGTAAACTCAAATTAACCAACATTTCTTCTTCAATTTGACAATAATTACTAATTATTGTCAAAATTCAAACAATATTATCATTTATTGCAATAATTTCTGACACAATTGATTGTCCAGCAAAATTTTTATTGTGACAGGCCTCATAACTACCCATTAGTTATTCATTAGTTCCTCTTCGTTTACAAGCTAACTAACCAGTAGTCCCCTAATAATGCTTGGCTGTGTGTTCCACAGTAAGTACCGGTTAACCACCCATTAGCTCCTGATTAATTTCTCTTTGGTTTCCATAATAGCTACCCATTAGTTCCTGATTAATTCCTCTTTGTTTACAAGCTAACTAACCAGTAGTCCCCTAATAATGCTTGGCTGTGTGTTCCACAGTAAGTACTGGTTAACTACCCATTAGCTCCTGATTTGTTCCTGAGGCGTTCCCTAGTAGTTAATCAAATTTTGTGCACCTTATTGTAAAGTGTTTCTGTAATATCATTGTGGTCATTGAGTTTATTTATATTGTATGTGAAAGGGAGGTTAAAATAGAGCCTGACATACAGTAGATGCCTGAAACACAAACATAGGGATGTATCACTGAATTTAACAGTTTGTTGTTTTAGTGTTTGTGTTCACCAGCTCATTTTGGTAACATTTTGGTAAATGTTAGTGTTGTTTCAAAATGCAGACAGGATTAGAAATAAAAAATAAATCCTGTCTGCATTTTGCAACAACAGTAGCTCCACTAACATTTACCAGCATTTAACAGTAGTAAATATCTTTGTGTACAATTAAGATTTATATTTACTGATTCAATAGTAAATGTTTCACAAGGCAAAACGAGGCACCTTGTTTGTTACACTGACCTTTGTGCATGCAAATCATCATCCAGCCCTATAAAACCATATCATATGAAACTGACAGCAGTGTAGAGGTTTATCAAATAGTGTTTACATAAACCACTGTGAATTTTTTTTTTGATTACTCTTGTTTGAAG